AAACCAGGGATTTTTGACTGCTTAATAAGTCCTCTACTCCCTTTCAGTTTGTTTACACTCTTGTCCCTGCCATAAACAGTGGTTTCGGGCAGGAGACACACAGCACTATACTCCCACCTGCAGCAGCAGTCTGAGGAATTCTTTTCAGAGACCTCCACTCAAGTGAAGTCAAGGTTCTTGACTACAAAAGGAATTTCAGGCTGAGTCACTATGAAGCAGAATTGGAGTGTATTAGGAAGAAAGTTCAACATAGATTTGAACATGGGTGTTAACAGAAAGAAAGGTGCTATGGGAAAGGATGCAACCCAAATACATGAGTTTGGGCTTCTCAAGAAAGCATCACCCTTGAATGCTTTAGCAGTGGCAGAATATAAGGTTGTAGAGGCCTTTGAAATGATATGACTTGAGGTATTTTTTGAAACACCTTTCCTGTCTCTTCCTTTTTGATAAGTGAAATAATAGAACGGCTTTGTAGGGACCTTGAGTAAGATTGCAACCTGATAAGGCAAAACCAGGGCTTCTACAGGTTATTCAAGGCTGTTAAGACATGCCTTTTATTGTAAATATGGTAATTATTGTGAGATTCCTTAACAGTTGAAGGCTCACGGCAGACATCCCCTTCCTTATTTTTCCTGCACCACTATCCTGCCTCATCACTACTTCACTTCCTGCTTATTTCTAGGGGACTTCCTATGAAGTCCTAAGATATGATTGACTTCCCTCCACTAAAGCTTTACAACTGTTCAAACAGAAATGTATACACAGCACTCCTTTATCTAAATTGCTCCAGTGGCTCCCATTATTCTCAGGTTGAAGGTTTAAGCTAAAACAGCATTAAATACCCTACGTAATTTTGTTCATTCTCTACCATTTAAGCAAGAGGGGGACACATTTAGCCTTTTATTAAGTATTCATCATGTAGGTCATGGCTTAAAAGTAATTTCTAGTCAGGCATAGTGGCCCACACCTTTGATCCCAGCACTTAGGAGGCAGAGGCAAGTGGATCTCTGTGAGACCAGCTTGGTCTACAGAGCAAGTTCTAGGACAGGCTTCAAAGATGCAGAATAACCCTGTCTTGAAAAAACAAACAAAAAAATCTGTTCTGATTTTACACTACTCCATGCCTCTTCTGTCCACTAGAACCTGCATAGTGTTTCCAAGGTAATGTTTTCTTCCATCTTGCCATATGTATGCACAAGGATCTTTATTGACTCTCATTCAGAAGGTCTGATACAGGACTGAAATCTGACTATTTTTGTAAAAGCTCCCCCAGATAAGTCTGATTAATTATGGGATTATAACAATTGCTAACATATATAAAATGTAGACTTAAAATTAGGAGTAAATAAATAGTTATGGAAAGAGAGTTTAGAATCAAATGGAGATGGATTCAATTAAATTTTGACTTTTACTATTGTGTGTGATCTTGGCAGCTTCCTTAGCTTTTAAATGTGCATGCTTCCTCACTAACAAAATGGAAATAACATAACATTGTGGTAAGGAGAAAATTAGATAATTTATGTAAATTTTCATGTTTAAGGCCAAACACACACACACACACACACACACACACACACACACACACACACACACACACACATAT